ACTCACGATAGGCTCCGAAAAACAACACACAGCTGCAGAAATGTGAAAACCACGCCATAAATTAATAAGCAGCGATTCTGGCAGAGACAGAGAGAAAAAGAGAGAGAGAGATGCACCTATAATATTCAATATTCTTAGTGTATGGCTTGGTAAGGGGGTGGATGGAGGAAAGGGAACGGGTGGAATTTCACAGATTACACACTTCAAGTTACACCAAGGGTGCCGGCCCCATTCTGCCAGACCAGGCCGTGAGGGGGGGGGGGGGGGGGGGGGGTTGGTGGAGGGGGGCACGCTTTACTTTTGATTTTATTCTCCAGGCGAAAAGAAAAAAAACGTAGGCGCTCTGAATGTGTCGCTTATTCACAAGCCTTGTCACTTCTTCGCTGTACAACAACGACCGCCACCAACGAGTCCGCTTGAGCTAGCAGCACACGCGCCGCTGATGCAAGGTGGTGGGGGTCTACAAATCGTTCGTACGCTCCTCCTCAGCGAGCAATTCAACTTAAGGCATCTTTAATTATTTACTCTTTTTTCCTACGCATGTATATATGTTAACAATGTTAACAAAATGTCATCCCATTGTTATACTGTGCCCCTAGTGTCAGAACAAAAATGACAAACCCTCTTAAAGTTGTCACACAGCACTGGATAAATATTATTATTTTATTAGGTAAGGCCCACTGAGCTCTACAGCTTTCTTTTTTCAAGAAGCGACCTGGTCACAAATTATAGCTCAACAGGACTGGCTTATCATCATGTGGAAATGTATCGCGGCAAAATACTCTAAACGCGTGCTGAGAGATACAGGCGTTGGCCAGGATCGAACCCACAACCTCATGCATACCAGGCGAGGTAGTTAACATTTCGCCACCGTGTTATAACACTTCCCACAGAAGCGGAGTTTGGAGGACTTCTTCTGAAATCCATTTCAGTGATTTTTGTTCATTTTTTTCTACGTGAGGGAAGGCACTCTCTCACACACACCGCTGATTTTCAATAAATGGCAATCAACAGAAATGGCCCATCATTAAGAGCTGGAGTTTAGCCGAATGAAGTAAAAAAAAGGGTAAGTTTCAAGTTTATAATGTTTAACCAGGTGACGAACTCCAGTGACCAAGCCAGAGCCTCAATTGCAGGGGGGACCCTGAGTCATCAAAAATTACTTTCGCAAAATAAAAAAAAGTACAGCAATGAAGCAACTTTAAATCGGGTAAAAAAAACACAAATGCGTCACGTGAAAAATCGAAAACTTATTTCACAACCTTTCGAATTAAGAAAGTGTAATAGGATGAGGGGTATTTTTTATCTTCTTCTTCTTCTTCTTTATTTGTGCGTGTGTAGGAACATGCGTTGGTGAGCGGGCAGAGCCCATGGACTCGCTAGACTCGTTAAACCCGGTTCAATCGCAACCCAAGAGTCCAGCAGTGCTGGCCCTGCGCTCTGAACTGTGAGCTACCTCTAAAACCCTTGATATTACTAACGCGCGCAATAACCCGTGCCACATTTGTTATCTCATAGTTGTTAAGGGCCATCTGGTTCATTGAAGTTTTACACGGAACAAGTTGTTTTACAACTACAGTAGTTGCTGCGGTGTGACGGTTCGCAAAACTGGAATTACAATCCATTCCAAGGGGGACCACCGATTTGGTTTCCCTGTATGGCGGTTGAAATTATTTGACAATATAAATAAGCAGAAAATATATCTCATTGATATATTTGTCTCTCCACGTAAACATAAATAAACACATGTTTTACACTTCCCATCAACCGCAAAGCCACGAGGCCTTCTGGCAGTGCATAATTTCAGCAGTATTAGTTTAATGCAAAGCACAATCTGGACGAATTTTCGCTGCACAGCGTTCCATCAGTAGGGTCACGCTTGCTCAAGCCGATGCTGGCGAACTGCCGGATGAAGTAGCAATGGGCCAGTTTCGTGAAACTCTTCGCATTTATTCGCAACAGCATCACAAAACGGAGACTCCACAGTTTTGTCGATCCGAAGGTTGCATGTGGTGGGGTAAAGTGCTTGGTAGTCTCACCAATACAACGAACTCACAGCCACAAGTTGCTTTCAGTTATGTTTTAACTCTATATAATTGTTTTTTCTTACGTTTAATGATTTGATGGCGCTTTGGGTGGCACATTTGTGCCACATTTTTACCAAAAAGAAATTGAGATGACTTGACAAATACCCTTTACTGAGGCCCTCTAGAAGCTACCTGGAGTGGAGAGGCCTATCCACAAACATAGTGGAGTGAGCAAGTCACTGCTGCACCTTCATCTTTACCCCGTAGGCATTTCAAAATTGGTGTTTGCGTTGTTTGGACTTGATATGCAATGACCCACCCCTTGTGAATGCTATAACCTTTCATGTTTAAGCAGACTGTGCACTTTGGTAAGGCCACACACTTGGCATTGTGATGACTTCAGGAACTGATCCATGAACCCTGACATCATTGGCGGCTTGCACTCAACACTTGCCTGTCCGAGCAACCACTGCTCACTCTATAACATGTCCATCAAAGTCATATTTATTGGAGTGGCTGTGTGACTTGCATTAAATTCGTCCGTCATATTAAATTTGATTTGGCACGTAATTTGTCTTATTCCAGCGGTGAGAATTTTAAATTTCAGTTTGGCCGACGTGCGATGAACACTGCCTGGAAGGCGTATAAAAGCTGGGCTCGTAGCGTGGATGAAAAGTCCTGTTTTGCAGTAGTGAGTTCAGACATAGTCCTGTGATGACATATGTGACAATCCTCAAACACAGGGTAAAGGCACTACACACCGCAGGAATTCCTAATGGAAATGTATTTCAACATGCCATCACACGATGCCAATAACACACTTGGAATATATATGTTTTTAAATATTTTATTTAATAATCATCTCTTTCACTTCAATGCAATGTTTAGCACAAATATTCTAGTCTACGAGATTGATTGTATTCACTGCATACTACATACTGCTGTGGTGTAATGGTTTGCACACTACTTATAATCCAAATGTCTATTTCGATCTCCCTGCGTGGCAGTACAAATAAATGGCGTAAAGTTCATTGAATTCACCCGAACATCTGTCCACCTATCCAAATAAACTCATAAATCAGAGAGTCGACGAGTTGCGTACTGTGGGGGAAAGTGTTGGCACCCCGACCTCATCCAAGACATCTGACCAGGGTGGAAGAGTAGGCCAAATAGCCTCTAGAGTGGCTCTACAGAGCTACCGCTGCTAGAGACTCTTCCACAAGCGCTGACGTGAGAGCAAGGAAATTGCACGGCTGTGCTTTTGCCTTCACGTTTTTTGCTGCTACACCTACACACAAAGCTATGTAGCCACATGGGGCTTCCAGGGAAATGCTGTTTCACTCCGACATAAATATGAAGCTATCGCGCAGGCATCGTGCTGCCATTACGAGGCGCATTTGCCCCATACAGAGACCTCAAATGACCACGGGGCACAAGGCTCATTTGCGATTTTCCAAAGCACCGTCTCACCACTCTGCGGCCGTCGCAAGAGAGAGATTTTTGTTTGTTCGTAAATGTTGTAGGGTGATCCATATATAGATGTACTTCACCACAGTATTACGGCGAAATTGTATCGAAAACAAATCCCCTTCCAAGTCTCCCCTACATACACTCAACAATAGATAGGACTGTGGAGGATGTTTTTCTCTTCGCGGTTGCGCTGTACCGCACCGTTGTTTGTACGATGTCCGACGTTTCGCTCCACATGCTGGGGGTGGCTTCTTCGGCACGCTGAACTGCAACGAATAAAGAACTGAATATTCAGCACCTGAAGAGGCCCCCTGCGCGCGGAGTGGAACGTCGGACTCCGCGCCAAACAACACGCGCTGGCAAACCCAAAAATCACAGTGCAACGCTCAAAACCTACACGGTAACGACGATCCAATCGATAGCCCGTTGAAAATTGTCATGCCTAAACAGGATTTTGCTTGCGTAAATACAGAGGTATATATGCATATATATTTTTTTATAAGGATAAGCTTTTTTTATTTTACCAGGTGACCGTCTTTCTTCGATGGCTAACCAAAATCCAATGCGAGGATTGAACTCGGTTAGCAGGGTTCATAGTGCAGTGTAACAAACACTGCAGCACCGCTCCAACCCAGTAAAATGAAGGAAAACGTCATTTTAACACGCAGGCTTTCGCGACCAATATTATTCATAATAAAGGTTTTTGGGTTAGATCGCGTTATTTATAAATGTGTCGTAACCCTCCACCACCCGATACGGCCAATCAGCAAAAAAAAAGTATCACGTTGACAAAAGACAAATAGTTCACTACTTTAGCCCACCGGTGTGTTGAGTGAGTGAATCCACAACATTTACAGTTTGAGTACGACGTTTCGCTGATAATTACATCCAGCATCATCGAGCAATTCGCCAGAATGGTAAAGCCCTCGCTTGCTCCCGGTCTTAAATAGAGCAGCAGGGTGACGTCATCATTTAACTCATTTCAGGTGCCCGATGATGCTGGATGTAATTACCAGCGAAACGTCGTACTCAAACTGTAAATGTTGTGGATTCACTCTTCAACACACCGGTGGGCTAAAATAGTGAATTATTCGTCTTTTGTCAACGTGACACTTTTTTTTGCTGATTGGCCGTGTCGGGTGGTGGAGGGTTACGACACATTTATAAATAACGCGATCTAACCCAAAAACCTTTATTATGAAGAAAATGTCATTCCGGAAGTGGCTTGATAGTTGGGAAACATTTGCCCACAAGATTATTTTAATACTATTATAATATTTTCTCTATTGTTTTTTTTTACCAGGTAAGCCCCACTGAGCTATATATATTCAGAAGCCTGGCCACAAATGTCAGTTCAACGAAGTGGCGCATCATCATGTGGAAATTCACAGCAGCCAAATACTCTTAACGCATGTTTATAAATGTGGAGGGGAAAATCAGAGGACCCGGAGAAAAATCCACGCAACCACGGAGGAGAACACGCAAACTCCAAATATACAGCGGGCGTCAGGCCCGGGATCGAACCCACGACTTCCTGTAAACCAGCCGAGGTAGTTAACATCGCCACTGTGGTGCCCATATAATACGAGTATCGGGTAATCGGTGCTTGGATAAGGGGAGTCTCGCCGCGTGTACCACAGGCATGGTCGCACGTTATATGGAAGGCACTTTAAAAATATCAGCCACTCCCTAGCAGCTCCGGGGACAGATCGGTCTGGACTGTTGCGCCAAAACATGCGCCAGCAAATCACCTTTTTTGACTGCAATAAAACTTGCAAAGTAGTGCATGTCAGGTTCTGACATTCACACAGCTGGGCCCACAATGTCCTGCCTGAAGGTCAGCTAATTCATCAAGTATTCCCCCTGTCCTCCCTGCAGATGGAATGCCATTTGGTAGGACCCTGGTTTCGCGCTTTACTTATTTATTTACTTGCTCGCTTAGATGTTCACACGGAACTGTGTATGTGCTGATGCACCGCTGCTTTTCCGTAGTGGCTGGCAGCAAATAAAATAATTGCCGTGGCTGGAAATACCAAAACCGCTCGAATCTTGGACATCTGCATATCGGCCGGGACCAAAAGCCCTGGTGGATAAGGGAAGGCCAACACTGCAGTTTGCAAACAAACCAGGATTAGACGCAATGAAAGCACAGCTCCTAGAGGGATTCATGGTTTATTTGCGGCGGACGTTAACAGCAAAAGGGCTTCTCCACGGTGTGCCGTGATTCAGAAAGTGTCGATACATTTGCATGCCACGGGGGAACTGAGCTAGCACCGCCGAGATCATGGTTCGAGCCCCATGCGTCTTATTCCAGCCGTAGCAGGTTCAATAGCTGCAAGTTCGCCGGATTTAATTGTATAAACCTGCTCAATAAAGACTGATATATATTTTAAAAGCAAGGCGCATTCGTAAGGCAAAGAGGTCCAGTTTCTAATCGTAGGGCGACCGCTGTCGTTGACTTCCCCACTGAATGTGAACTCGTTTTTTTTCTTTCTATCAACCGTGGGAGGGACCATAAACAAAGCAAAGGTGCAGCCCTGCAATCTGCATTGGAGGGAGCTCGAGAGGTGACCTGCGAAAAGGATGCTTGGCGGATACTCTTCTACGCCGGTCAGACGTCTTGAAAAATTGTGGGGGGAGTACCCCATACTTTTCCCCACCCGTATCGGTGAAGGAGATGCTCACACGTCTCAATGGACTAAGGCGCATGAGCTCACGCAGATATACATGTATACACACACACACGTAAAAAAATTACACCACGTTGTTTTGGTGATACTTCATTGGCAGTGGTGCACAAGAACAAACAACAAACAAACAACAACAATCACATATCCGTCAATAACACTGCGGCCTTGAAATTGTTATTTTTTTGTTCGTGAAAATGGCAATGTGTCTTTTTTAGCAATGGCCTTTCTTCATCCAGTACACAGAGCGCCCAGAGAGATTTGAGTGGATACGAGTCGGCGACTGCACTCCCTGTGGCCACAAAGAGAGGTGAGAGGGAGGGATGGAGGGATGAGGAGGAGGGCGGTGGAAGAGGGGTGGGAGGGGACCCAATGGGAATGGCCCAGAACTGCTCAGAAACCCCCATGGGGAACATTTTGAATTCAGAAACTTCAGATTCCGAATCAGTAAAAAAAAACCGGAGCCACCAGACCAGCTTAAGCCGTAGATAGCCATGCGCTGTAAACACGCTTGTGCGAATCAATATGTGGCCCAGTTAAGGGTGAATAGATGATTTTCAATTTCTCCCTGCTGATACCCTTTAGAAATGTAGTGTTTCAAGCCTCAGCACACGGTGCAATGACACCAGCAAAAAAAGATAGATAAACTTCACACCAGGGAGCTTTGAGGTGGGGTTCCCGGGCTGAAATACATTCCGATTAACCAGATGTGGGTACCGCACATTCGTGTATGCCTAGGGCGTTTATTGAAGGCGGCCCGGGATCAAAATTATAAAGTATGGAGGGAAACGATAGGTTAAATGTGTATGTGGCGATGCTGCGGTGGCGAGAAGATGTCACCTTCCTCCCCTGGTACACAGAAGGTCCTGGGTTCCATCCCAGACCTTGGCGATGCCTGTTCTAAGCCACTTCGATGAGCTGTCCTCTGTGACCGTGTTGCCTCTGAAAAGAGCTAAGAGCTCAGTGCACCTTGCCTGGTAAATGAGATTGTTCGGTTTCGTATGGAATGTTTGAACTCGATAACGTGAACACAATTTAACAATGCGCAAATAGATGAATGCGAAATTCACTTAAACACAGTAAAAAAGTATGCAAAGGATCACACTGCAAATTACACTGGGAGACAGTAAGATAATGTAGAGAATGTAGAGAATGCACCCAGGCTGAAGACATTCTATCGACTGTTAGGAAAAGTATAAATGGGCTTTGGGCAGGACACGTCATTGGAAGCGATGACGGCCGCTGATCGAAACGAACAACATAAGTAGCAGTGCCACGTCCACTGCGGAGATGGAGCAACGGGATTCGCTAGCGCGTAGGAACCAGACGCGTCATTACATCGCAAGACCCGTGACATAATGCTTACAGCCCCTTTCGAGGCGTTCACCTAGCAGTGGATAGAACCACGGCTAACAACCACGAACACTGACGCCACGCCACCATGGAAATTGAACGTGGCCCCCGTGGAGGCATGACAGCTCGACACCTGGCCGTCTCGCAGGACACCGAGAGACAGCGACGACTTTGTGAGCCGTGCCGTCTTCGTCCAGCCTGTGGGATAGATCACGCCTAATGACGATGATGATGATGATTTTGGGGTGCCAAGTTGGCGAGATGTTAACTATCTCTCCTTGGGTATGCAGGAGGGCGTGGGTTCGATCGCGACCCGTGACGTCTGTATATTTGGAGTTTCAGTGTCTCTCTCCACGTGGTCGCGTGGATTTTTCTTCGAGTCTTACAGCTATTCCCTCCACATTTCGAATCGACGTGGGTTCTGAGTATTTAGCTGCTATAAATTTCCACACGATAAGCCATTTCGTTGAGCTATAATTTGTGGCCAGGTCGCTTCTGAAATAGAGCTATATAGTTCAGTGGGCTGTACCCGGTAAAAAACTAAAATCTAAGTTTGATTTTTTTATGGGATGAGCAAACCTTGTGGGTAAAATGATTCCCAACCATCAAGCCTCTCACGGAATGACGTTTTCCTTAATTTTACTCGGTTGGAGCGGCGATGCAGTGGTTGGTACACTGCACTATGAGCAATGCTAACCGATATTCTTTGGTTCTTTCGGTAAAGTCAAATAGATAGAAAAAATTATAATAAAAATTAAGTGAATAAAAATAAAAATAAATAAATAAAAATAAAAAAAACCACTGCTGTAGACTGTAGCCTGATTCTTAATCGGAGTGAGTGTTCTGGCAGTCTATAATGTAGACTGTAGCCTGGTTTTGATTTAAAGCTTTCGTGACTGCAGGGATTCATATTCTTGATTCTTTCGGTAAAGTCACGTAGAAGGGAAACAATAAAAAAAATATAAAACAATTGGAAGCGATGAAAATAAAATAATAATAAAATATAAAACAATTGTTTTATATTATAAAATAATAAAAAATATAAAACAATTGTTTTATAAAACAATTGTTTTATAAAACAACTTATAAAACAATTGTTTTATAAAACAACAGTCGAAACAATTGTTTTATAAAACAATTGTTTTATATTTTTATTATTATTTTATTGTTTCCTTCTACGTGATATTTTTATTATTTTATTGTTTCTCTTCTACGTGACTTTACCGAAAGAACCAAGAATATGTAGCCTGGTTATGAAGTTTGGTGAGTGTACTGGCAGTCGATAATGTAGACTGTAGCCTGGTTCTTAACCTCGGTTAGCGTACTGGCAGTCTATAATGTAGACTGTAGCCTGGTTTTTAAGCTGGTGAGCGTATTGGCAGTCTATGGTGTAGACTGTAGCAATGGTTATTAACCTGAGTGAGCGTACTGGCAGTCTATAATGTAGACTGTAGACTGTTTTTTAAGCTGGTGAGCATATTGGCAGTCTATGATGTAGACTGTAGCAATGGTTATTAACCTGAGTGAGCGTACTGGCAGTCTATAATGTAGACTTATTGTGGTTCTTTCAGTAATAAAATAAAATAAAAAAACAAAAACCACGACGTTTCGATTGCAACACAAGCGGTCGTCATCAGGAAAAGGGGGGTTAGCCTCTAAAGGCAAACTGTTTAAAAAGGCGGTTACATTTTGATTTAAAGCTTTCGTGACTGCAGGGATTCATATTGTTGGTTCTTTCGGTAGAGTCACGTAGAAGGGAAACAATAAAATAATAAAACATATAAAACACACCTGATGATGATTGCTTGTGTTGCAGTCGAAACGTCGTGAGAATTGTATTGTTTTATATTTTTTTTATTGTTTCCCTCCTACGTGACTTTACCGAAAGAACCAAGAATATGTTTATAAAGGTTTAGAGATGGGCGTAGCCCTAGTGTATCAGCAGCAGTGGGTCTACACCAATCAAAGGGCCTCCAGGCAATCATTGTACCTCGCTACACACACCCACACTGCTGACGGTGGAGGTTGACAAGAAAACACAGATCAAGTCATAACCCAAAGTGGTTGATGACATATTTCCAATGATTGCTGAGTTTATAACCATCCTCTCGGTTGAAATTGTGTCTGTGTCTGTATATATGTATGGCTTCATGAACGAATCTTTGTTGATAGCCAGTAGGCTTGCAAAGTACCATTATCTTACAGAAATCAATTTCGTGTAATGATCAGCCACGGCAGAAGTATTGGTCCTACCGTGTTTCAAATCTGCCTTATGCTGACGAACACGGTCCGAGACATGTCGCTTAGTTTCCCAAATGTAACTGCTGCCGCAGACACAGCTTAGTTTGAAGACGCCGGGATATTGCATGTCAGGAATCTTGTCCTTCACATATGGGATCAGATCACAAATTTCATGTACTGTGTTAAATCGGACCTGGATCTTGCGTGTTGATCCTCGCAGCGGCCTTTGGCTAGCCATCAAACAAAGACGGTCACAGCATCGCCTGCTTTGAGATGGGCTTCCGCGGCCCTCTGGAACGCTCTCCCTTTCAATATTAGGAAACCGCTGGAGCTATGCACTTTTACATCTGGATTGAAAACTAATTTCTTTAGAGCTGCTTTTTTTCTTCTTCATAGTCTGTTGTCCTTGCACCACAAGATCCGTGACATAATGCCGGATGATATGAAGCTCCAGAGTTTAATTTCCGAATATGCAAATTAGTTTAAACGATAACCGCTCCCAGGTTGCGTTTGCACTCTGATAGCTGTTGTATTGGAATTAACATTCCTTTCTATTCATCATCATCAGCCATGTTCGACCCACTGCTCATCGAAGGCCTCCTAAGCTGCCGCCACCTCTCGTGATCCCGCAACGTAATAATCCACCTGGCCCCACTGCAAGTTAAACAGTTTTACATTTTGCTTCGTCCCTTTGGTGTACATCCTCGAAGACCCGATTTTATTCCCTGCCTGCCACTCCGTCATTATTCCCGGTACCATCGGATGGCCGACCCTTCCGGCGACAAAACAGCGTTTCTCAACAGCTTTAATGAAGCGACGAACCTGCGCACCTGCTCTCATCCACGTGTTCCTCTTTCCGCCTATATGCACGTGACCGCAAGCGTGCATCTCTCCCAGCTTCTTTGCGCGCCTCCGTTTTTTCACTCCGTAATTCTTCTCCCCTCCCCCACCGCCAGTAATTGTGTGTCTAAACGAGATGCATGATATGACGGATTGCCGCAGAAGTCCCGTTTGTTTCGTTTCGCTTTGTTTGTTTGCTCGATTGCATGCTGAAGATGTTATGAATACGACGCGCATTTTTCTCAACGGTATATATATATTTTTTAAAATAATCCTCATTGCGTTCCGGAGATACACTTCAAAGAGTCTGAGCGCCACAGTGAGCTGGCACACATTAGTGAACGCAGATGCATCTCTTAATCATCATCATCATCATCGTCGTTGTGCGCTTCCAATTAGCGATCTTTGTTGACACGTGAAGCATAATGACGATTTCGAATGCATCTGTGTGCAGCAGCAACTTGTGCTATATCGCCCTGCAGACCGTTGGATGTTTTGGAGCCTCCGGTACAAATGAATTGGTGGCGAAGCTGCTGCTCCGGCTGCTTAGATTGGCAGTGCTGCACAAGCAAATATAATAACAACAACAACAACAATAACTTGACACATTCGTCAATAACAACACTGTATCGGCGTTAACAGGAAACACGTGTACAATGGGCGACGTTTTGGGGCCCTTTTGCATAGCACGTAAATTGAGAGGCCAGCGAGGTTGACAGCACTGGCCTCTCTATTCATGACCTAAGAAGGGCAATTGCCTGAAACGTCACGTATTATACTAATTTACTTTTAAGGCCACAAGTGCTATTGACGGACGTGTCTTTTTTTTTTCTTTTTCCGAGACAGAGCAGTCGTGACACTGACAGCTGTGACAATGAAGTTGTCCAAAGCGGTGTGCCTGGTGCTCTGATGCTGGTGCATACGTTTAATATGCCACCGCAGTCTGCCTTTTCCATATCATCCCATTGTCATCACCTAATGTCTTACTACTTCCTCGATTAACCAAACGGTATATGTCGTGCGTTCCGAAGAGTCTCGTGGCTGACACAAAGACAAAGATCCCCCCCCCCCCATAGAGCCTTCAACAGACTGTGAGGCAAGGGTTGTTTGCGATCACCAATCAAGGCTAACACGGCAGACGAGAGGGTGGGGGTGGCCAGCACCACGCCCGGACGCCTTTGTCTCCCCAGTGCCGATGTTTACGCACTGCACCAGGTGCTCATTTAAGGAGAAGTCAAATCCAGGGGAGACGCAGGGCCATTTTCGAAATCCAACATGCTGACACACACACACTCCGTTGCAAACACAATTGGTCTATGGATTTGTCGCAAACATACACAAGTTAGAGGAGGGCGTGGGAAATGCAAATTACGTTATGCAACTAAAATTGGCTTATATTGTTTGACGATGCATATGGCACAGAGACGTGTTGACTGACAAAGGGAATGGAATAAAAGCTGAAAAATGTGCACGAACCAAAAGTGCACGCTCGGAAAGACAGGGCACCCAGAGAGAGAGAGAAAGACGTGGAATTGGAGAACGCACCCAAGGTTAGAGGCATCACCTTGATGGATACGGCGCTAGAAGGGACCGGTGGCCGGTGGTCAGAGCTAACGAGTGAGGGAACTTGCCCAAGAGGACGTCCTTGGAAAGAGACGGAGCGATGACTGCTTTCCCGAGACGTGTCAACTTTTTCGTCTTACCCAAATTACGCGTCCAATAATGAAACACGACGTGACAAACCGCGAATATATTTCCCCACGTCCCGCAATCACCGCCGAGACGCTTAACAAATGAATAATTAACGGCGGGAAATGCATTCCACGTTATAATACGTTCAATTACAGATGCGGCGGATGAGACAGCTAATTTGCCGCGAGGAGTCACGCAAATAGTCCATCAGACGCCGCTTCAACGTTCATTGTGAATGATTGCGCCGTGAGTTTAGGGGGTGGTGTTGTTGAGATATACTCCCACGCCGCGAAATGTTGAAGCACACTCACAAGGCCATTCGTTGCATTTTAGCTGTTGGCGATAAACGATTGCATACAATTATTCTTGCTTTGTCGCTTCGTTGGTGTTGCGCAAGTCTGCATTTTTTGTGTGTCACGGAGTCCCAAAGTGCCTTGGCTTGGTGTCACCTTCGTGTTCCACGGACAAGCAAAAACGAAGATCCCCCCGTATAGCCTTAACAGACTGTCGGGGCATGTGCTGTTAGCGAGCACCTATGAAGGGCGGAACGGCACACGAGGGAGTGGATGGCCAGCACCACAACTGACCTCCTTAGTCTTCCCAGTGGCGACGTTTACATACCGCACTAGGTACTCATTTGAGGCTGAGTCGACCTAGGGGAGGCTCAGGACCGGTTCAGATATTCGTCATTGGCGTTGGCCGTGAGCGGGAATCGAACTCGGGTGGCGTCGGGTCGCAGAGCAGTGCGCTAACCGCGACACTACCGCTGCCAACGTTCTGTGGACACAAATACAAAGACAAATATCCCCCGTATAGCCTGTAACAGACTGTAGCTGACTCTCTGAGTTGCGTTGGATGCCTTTGTGTTGACGGGCTGGATGTCCTCCTCCCTCAATCACCGATGCTGCGACATACTAGGCAAGTCACCGATGCTGCGGCATACTAAGCTCGTGCATTGACATGCTAATCTCTCACATTACAATAGCCACTTCCACAGCCTCAGGGAGACCATCTCTAGCCCTGTCCTCTTACCCTGAGGCTGCACCCATCTCAGGCCTATATAAGACCTTGTTTCAGAAGCTTTCTCTCTCTCACCTGAAGACAGTCGCTTGTGTTGCGATCGAAACGTCGTGATCAATTAATTTTCTATCTGCGTGACTTTACCGAAAGAACCAAAGAATATAAATTCCTACAATCACGAAAGTTTTAAGTAAAAATTTAAAATGACAATGAAAGTCGCGAGGTCAAATGCCGGTGTCGTTGTCCTGTCCCCGCACCTGCGATTAGCACGGCTGGCTACGTACGGTGCCAAATAAATTCGACACACATCATCAATGTCACCACAAAGGTACCATCAATTGATTTTCCTATCCTTCTGCCAGATAAGGCAACTGTCGTTGTTGCTGTTGCTGCTGCACAGACGACACTTGACCCCTCACCCCCCTCCCAACCGTTGCCCCTTACAAGCCTCCCGTCATCCGACTTTTGAGTTTCCCCTTCTCCTTGGTCTCCGACATTGAAGGTGCCCCTAACGCAATGCTTTTACGTGACAGCTCCAAAGCCGGCTGAGAGGGAAGGAATGGGCAATCTAATTTACTTGGGCGCCTGCTTAATTAGATCCCTGGTGGGACGGGGGAGGGCAAGGCAAGTAAGAGTGGGGACACGGTGATGGGCAGTGCTCCCTGGACCTCTCCTATGGCTATTAGCCCGTTTCTCAGCAACTTAAGACCGAATGCATTATTCAATTAATAATCAAGAGCGATGAATTCATTATTAATTTAATTCATTATGGAACGCTGCCTCGGTTGCGATGCTTTGAGCGCTGGATTTGAAATCCTGAGTTGAAACCATTGCTTGGTCTTGCCACTGCTGCTGAGAGAGGTCTTCCGCCTAGGGGGAGGGGCTCTTCAGAGCCCCCTTTTAAGGTCGTATGTGGCCTACTCCTCCCTGCTGGCCAAACGTCTCGGAAGAGATGGAGAGCACACCCAAACTTAAGACCACCACACCACAGATGCACTCACCAGCGACCTCTTGATTGCAAAGTCCAGTGCGCTAAACCGACGTGGCACGGCAGGGTCCCCCCGAAACCGTGGAAGTAGTTTTAAACTTGCACCTCATCTTTAAACATATCAACGCCTCCGTTTCCCCGTTCCCGCAGTACGCCCGTGGCGGTCCCAATGTTTTTTTTTTCGCGGCATCCCGAGAAAGCTGTTTGCATTCTCGAGGCTCCAAACAAAAGTCCAAATCGCATCGCGCCCTGCAATGCATCACCCCAGCCTTGGCGCATTTTTGCTTTCCACGGAGTCAGCAGAGGACCGCTGGGTCTGGGGGGCATAAACAGAAGTCCAGCGTCTCAGCATTTCACACGCAGGTGCCTGCCCCCCCCCCCCCCTCCCTCCCCGAGTGCCCAAGTAGTACTTGCCTCGCCAAAGCGCAATAAATCAACACTCATGTGGCCTAAGCGAGCGCCCCGTTGTCGTTGCGAGACATGGACACTAACCGATAAGGGGGGAGGGGGTGGGAGTCTGCGAGACATCCGTTTGCAAGCTGCATCTTTACTCCCGGGCGGAGGCGTTCTTAAGAGGAATGTTAATGGGGGAATCAAACATTTATAACGAGAATACAAACAAAAAATCTCGACTTGTTTTCGCTTCATAATGTTTGCAAGGGGCTGAAACGGATCGCTCCGTGTGCCAGATGGCGATGGCTCGGCGGACGTCTTCATCCAGCAGTGGATTAATCAAGGTTGATAATGATGGTAAGGCAATTGATTGGTGTGTCTGTGTCCAGTGTTTGTCTTTTATGCAAAATACATATTTTTAGGGGTGCAACAATGCATTGAGTCATTGATTAATATTTATAAACGTTACCACTCGGGATACATGCGTAGACTCACGTGTCATTATTTCTGAATGCATGCAAATTATATGTAAAGTTTATGGTAATGTTGTATTTAGACTAATGGCGTGAACACATTTTTTTTACAAGTGATATTTTTTTTTAGACAACATAAATGAGACATTAATGAGATAACCAACCACATTAGAAATGAAGAACACACACTCATTATGCATAGACGTGCAGCAGTATTGGTAAAAGAAAAACATGAGCCCAACTTTATTGTTTTGTTTCCCCATAGATAATAAACAAAAAACCCATAAGCCCCGTTGTCTTTCCAGCCCAATATTATCACGCAGCATTTATTTAAACAAGCAAACTCTGGACCGGTTTCAAACTTCTCAGTTTCATCGGTGCTTGTTAAACAAATGCTGCTGCTGCTGCATTAACAAGGGGCCCTAACATTACACATTGAGTGCGCTTCCCAACGACATCTGGTGACCAGGCACCATTTTCAATTTGGTGATCCAGCAGTGGGCGGACAAAAAGGCTGGCACATTACGGGTTTTTTTTTCCATTAACGACGTTGACTTTTCAAACACCCGGCCGGGTTGGTCCGCACAACCGAGCCATGCCATTAAAATGCGTTCAGATGGGTGATGCACATCTTACGGCGATGCAGTTAATGCATTGTTGTCAATGGGCACTTCCTTACATCGTCAACGTAGGTTCCTTCATTCGTTGCTTTAATCTCCGGCTCATTGGTAAGATTGCCGCATCGACCACAACGGCTGCGTCCGACTTTTAAAAGCGACAACGGGAAGAAGAAAAAAATAACTCGCGCGCATCAGCGGCAAAAAATAACCCCACCTCTCTCAAGCTTCTTTACCCCGCACACACACACACACAGAAACAAGCTATTCCATCTTCGAAAACACACATGTTTTTTTTAAGTGGCCGAAATGAGGCTGAATTGTTGATTCATTTAATCTCCTTGCGGTCCCACGTTGAAGACGAAAGGTCGTGCCCGCTCCCGCGACAGCGGTTCCATCAAAAGATGACACCATCATCCCTCCGCCAAATGCACGGATCCTGATCCAGAGGAGCTCTCTGGTGACGCCACTGCCACTGCGTTAGCGGTGTTGACTTCGCAGCGGTGCACAACCACAATTAACAACAACAACAACACATTTGTCAATAACGCTGTGGCCTTAAAAAAAAACCCCCGTAAATGTTTTGGCTACGACCCTTTCTCATTTGTGTACGATGGGCAAGGGTCATTACCTAAAACGTCACCTATTTGTATATTTATGTATTTTTTTTTAATGCCACGGTGTTATCGGCGAATGTCTTGAATTAGTTTTGTTTCATCTCATTCAGAGGTCCAGTGTCAGTGGGAACCAATCGGCCGCTGGTTGTCTCACAGGAGGCACGCTTCCCTTTGAGCCGAGCGTAAGTCACCTCGCCGCCAGCGCCCCAAGGCCGCGGGAGTTTACCACGGTGGCACCGGCTTGGCGCGCTGCTTAACTTGGCCAGACGTTTGTGGGGCACGCGAGGTAATAAGGATGGATTGAAGTCACCTTTTCTCCCCCCCCCTCCACCCTACCCTACCCTACCCCCGTCTACAGCGGGGAAGTGGCGGCCCTGACACCGCTGGACGCCGATATAAATTGTGCCATGTGTTTGCCACCTTTTCATTCCGAGTTTAAAACGTGTATACATGCACACAGGCGGTATCTGCAAGGGAGATAACGATTCCCCCGTGTCGCCTTTTAACAGACTCATGGGGCAAGTGTTGTTCGCGAGCACCTATGGAAGACGGGGTGTGTTTCCAGCACCAAGCACGGCCGTCTTTGTCTCCCCAATGCTCGCGTTAACACATTACACGAGGTACGTATTTTAAGGCTGAGTCGACCTAGGGAAGGCCCATGACAGGTTGCGATAATTGTCGCAGGCGTTGGTGGTCGTGAGGCGGGAATCGAACTCGGGTCGGCGGGTTCGGAGCGCAGCGGGCTAACCACTGCACCACCGCTCCCCCCCCCCCCCCCATCTTTAAACACAGACACGCGTCTGAAGCAATGTACTTCCATTTCGTAAGGAGGGGAAAAAAATGCAGCGTTCGCAGTCACGAATGCGTGTAAATCGCGACTTGCCAATTACTTTGCTCGCAATTAAATGCAAACACGCTTTTAAATATTAACGAGGAGAAGGAGGAGGGATGAGGAGGATCTCTGCAACTGTCTGCCCGTGTCAAATATGGCAACGGAGCCGGGTAGCCCACGGAGCGAGAATGATTGGAGACACCCACCTCGAAGGGACCGCCACAATTGTTAACCGGCGCGCGCCCCCGTTTGGAGGTGCGGGAAAAATGAGTGGTGGTGGGGGGTGGGGGGTATGGCGCTGCGCACGGCATATCGGTGTGCTGCCTCGTGTGTGTGCTGTTCTGGCGATAAGCACAAATAATGGGCGGAGAAAAAGCCACCGCTCAGGACCATTACAATGAACACATTGCACCATTAACGAAGAACAAAAGAGATGCGTTGTTGGTGTTGTACGTTATCCGTTACTCTTCTTTCCTGATGTTGTCACGTGGGGAGAGGGTGCCTTCTCCCGACTACGATCTTTCTCCACTTTTTCCGGAACTCCGGACCCTCAGCTCCACGTCCACTCCACATTCCTTCCTAGCCCGGCCCATCTCTTAGAAGCACCTTTTCTCAAGGCCTTGCCTCTTGGCCAGGCGTCACCTTCCTCTCTTCTTACGACGTGTCCTGTCGAGCCACACGCTCGCCTACGGTAATCCGGCAAACGTACGGTGCGAAAGAAGTTCAACGTACAGACGTGCGTACGTGCACACCGGCACGTTTCGGACACTGGTGAGGCGTGACATCGCCTACCTATGCCGAGCTGTGGTGGCTATGGGGCCGTCCGTAAATGACGTCACGCGATTTTGGACGATTTTTGACCCCCCCTCCCCCTCTTCGTCACAAAAAGTCAGACCCCCCCTCAAATATGACGTCACAAAGCTCTGCTCTCCCCCCCTCCCAAAAATATATATAAAACATGCTTCAAATCGCTTTAAACTATTGTTGTCATTGTAGTGCGTATTTAATGTGGCGCTGCACTCTGATGTTGTAGGAGAAAACATTTATTTAAAAAGTCTATTCAATTAAGTAGAACGTGTTGTCTATATTTATTTAAAGTTGCGCATTCTGATGTGACGTCACATTTCTCACCCCCCCCCCCCCTCGTCACACATCGTCACAAATGTCTGACCCCACCCCCCCCCTAGGTGCGTGACGTCATTTATGGACGGACCCTATGCACGTGGCCTGTAATCTACTTTATATCAACTTGGCTGAGATGGGCAACACGATCTCCGAGCCCTGAACCATAACGAGACATATCTCCTGAACCACCTGAGTCTACCCGTTCTCTCAGCGTGTCCGAGATGGGTACAACTTCCTGCCACGTTCTTCATCGCTTATACCGGCCAAATGTAAAAAAGGGAGCTTCAAAGCATCAGCCTAAACAAACATTCTGATGAATTGCCGACTGAATCTCATTTTGTCGTAAAATAATCGTTACTGAAAGTTCTAAATGTGTTTTAATCCCCATTCTTTTCAGAGGCAAAAGCGCACGTTAATATTAATAAACTATTCAACTGTTTTTATTTTTATTTTACCAGGTAAGGCCCCACTGAGCTTCATAGCTCTTTTTCAGAAGCGACCTGGATATCAAACATGATAGCCCAATGAAGTGGGTAATCACGTGGACATTTATAGCAGTCAATCACTCCAAACGCGTGTCGTTTCTAAATGCGCCGGAGGACCTAGAGAAAAATCCATGCGACCACAGGGAGAGAGTCATGCAAACTCCAAATATACAGCAGGCGTTACGGTGGGGATCAAACCCACGACCCTCCTGTATACCAGGCGAGGTAGTTAACATCCTGCCACTGTTTGCATGATTGTGTTGTATATAATTACACAATGCCGATCATGCATGGTGGAAGACTCATGCCCAAATGTAGGCCAGGCAATGAGGCATCTTGCGTCCACAGGGACGGCTGCTACTGGGGGTGCCCTTTGAAATTGTGTTGAGGTGAGACGCCAATGTAAAGCACTCTGAGACACCCACTGGCAGAGCCAGTGATTCGATCGAAATCCCTAATTTCGATCGGATCATTGGGGTTTATTAGTAATAAATCGGCATTTTGCGACCCCCACTGCCACTGTGTAAGCATATTATTACGTGCCAGGGACTCTATGAGATGATAGGACAATAGTCTGAGTCCATAATTGGCAATAAGTAACGGCAAAGCGGTTATAAGTGACTCACAGAATTGTGCGCAGTTGCGTATACAGAGTCCACGACTTCCTGAAGGCATCAACACTTTCAGCGAGCGCGATGCCGATCACACCACGTGGTTCGAATTCGACCCTCAGTCGGTGGCTGCGCCATCGCCGCACACGCGTCGGATAAAAAAGAAAGGGACAAGTCCTTACTTACTAACAACGCCTTACTAACAACTCCTTACTTACAACTCCTTACTTACTAACAACTCCTCTATCATTTTTCATTGCTGGAGGGGTTGCCCCCCCCCACCTACCTGAAAATCCTGGCTCCGCCATTGGAGACACCCAAGTGTAGGGGTCGGCAAAACCCGCGCCTCCGGAGTGGCATACCGACCTTCAAGGGCTGGCCTCGTGACGTTATTTATTAAGGGACTCACCCGTCACGTAGTCACCACCACAGTGCATTGCGGCTCTTGAAATATTGTATTTTTTTTAATATATATACCGAATTCGAAAAAATGTCTCATCTTGTTAATTTGAGTGCCGAGCCCTGCCCTCGTGTTTATCAACAACAAATCATTACTATTGCAATGCAAATGTAAGTCTTATTTTGTATATACTGCATCTCTGAAAATAAAACATTTAACAATCTGACAAGCGTAAATCATCAATGTGGCTCAATTCCTGTCTGGAGGAGGGACCTTCAGCCGCATTCATGTTTAAATGATCTGCGAGTGGTTGCTTAATTATTGATTCAGTGATATTGCTGTCAGACATCAGAACTCTTGAGCTGCTGCACATGAGATCCTGGACTCATTGTCCACTAGTGTGATTGTGTCAGCCCATTCATAATTAAATACAAGGTAACAGCAGTCATATGCATTCAGCAGCTTTGAAAGGTTTTCCCCACTCTAGATGGTGGTGGAGTGATCGGAGCAATATAAATTGCCTCTGGGTCACAAATTAACGTCGAAAATGATGGGCTCAATGTAGCGGTGGCCACATCAGTCAGCGATCTGTGCTCGAGACACAGCGGACTCTGAGTTCGAATCTGGAACCCCGCAGCTCACCCCAGTGACTGGTAACATCTGAACTGGTTCTGGGGACCCCCAATCACTGTACCAACCTACACTGAGCAGCGTGGTGAAGTATGGTCAAACAATCCCCCATGACCAACTTAGCATGGCAAGACCGTCATTTAGCAGTGGGCTGTAAATTATTCATTAAAAATATATATATATAAATACCTGGGGGTAGGGAAGCGTTTGCTGTATCTGCCGCTTTTACTCGAGGCCAAATAGAGTGGTAATTAATTGATCGTGGAAATAACTGACGATTAACCAGACGTGTTTAATTAAACACCATATAAAAGCCGTTGTAATTAAGCTCCATGTGCCTCGACTGATATATCCGTTTGCAATTTAGATCGTTGTAAAAGTCAAATCCACAAGTGTATCGCTGCTCATACACTGTACCCATTTGACAGTAATGCTCATTTCAATTGGTGGTCCTGAACCGGTGTTGAAAATACCACATTCCTATGGCAGGTTAGACTGAAATTAACCAGATTTAAATGAGAAACCAAACACAGCCACAACACCACAGCAATATAATAACTCCAGCAGGCATGTAACAATGTTGATTTGAAGCTTTCGTGACTGCAGGAATCCATACTCTTTGGGTCTTTCGGTGAAGTCACATAGATAGAAAATGAATAGATGACGACGTTTCGATCGCAACACAAGCAATCGTCATCTGCAATCGTCATCAGGTGAAAAAAACACACAGCTGTGTTTGTCTCACCTGATGACGGTTGCTTGTGTTGCGATCGAAACGTCGTGATCGATTAATTTTCTATCTACGTGAAATAATCAAAGAGTATGTAACAATGCATCGATTAATCAATTACAATTTATATTCACGCTCACGAGACACACACATCGAATGCTGCCTGCGCTAATAAACAACGCATTTAGCCATGCAAATATTCCACGTATGTTAACGGTGGAAACCCGTACGAAGGAGACGTAATCAAATGAGAAACAATATTAACGGGACGGTAAAAATGGGACCTAAATTTTTTATTATCATTAAATTGAAATAGTGAACCCAACATTTAAAAAAGAAAAATCATCGTCAAATTCGCTGGTGAGGTGGCTAACTCATAGCAGGCCTAAACAGGTCCTTGCAGGGTGGGCTGGTAGGAACATTTGAATTTTTTTTTTACACCCAACAGCACGAGATTTCACTTCGTTAAAGTATTGAAAGGGGACGGACGGACGGACGCATTAATCTATTGCAGGCTGGTACACTCAGTTTACAACTTCGTTCCTACCAGTATAACCAGACACTTAGAGGCACAGCTGCAATGCAGCTGCATTGACGGACCCAGTTTCACCCACCCACCCACCAGCCACACAGCCAGCCAGTGCTGGATTATCCTAGTAGCTACACATGCTACGGGTCCCGCACTTTCAAGGGGCCCGTGCTAAATGCTTTCAAGCTATCAATTCCGGTTCATAATAATAGGGGTTTTCCCCTTTTTTCTGGCAACAAAACTGAAACCTTTTTACGAGGATTAATGTCTGCATTAAC